GTGGGAGGGTATTGGGGCGGATGAGGCTACAGCGATGTTGAATGAGACTTGGGTTAAGAGGTTATATGAGGGGGAGAATATCAAGGAGGGGCTTAGGGCTTTTGTGGAGAAGAGAAAGCCCGTTTGGGTGGATAGTAAGTTGTGAGATTACTTTTTTAAGAGAAGGATGGCAAAGGATATTGATTTTCCATTCGCTATTCATACTACAGTTCAGTTCAGCTCAGTTCAGTCAGTTCGTAAAGTCATATAAAACACTGATCCCATTACTCCTGCGCCGTATACCTGGTATTCGCGATATTCCATGCAAGTTGAATTTCAGTCAAAGCGAAATCAAATGCGCGGTTGCCCTGCCTCTCTTCTGAAATAGTGATGTTAGGATGTTGTGAGAAGGCGCAAGAAAGAGGTGCCTACTTTGCGTCAGATTGTACGCGGTCCACGACCTTGACCACGTGGGGGAAGAGAGGGTGGTCTCGTTCCAAGCCGGTCAATTGGGCAGCAGCGTCGGCAGGCGAGTTATCCTTGAGGGCCTTGGCCAATTCCACACTCTCCTCGTCACCTTCCACATTCTGGAACCGCATAGCCATTTCAAGAGAGCCCATCAGTGCGTCAAACTTTCCGCCACGCTCAGCCAGCTGAGCAGCCGGGCCGATGAAACGCTCCTTGCGGGACAGTTTGCGCATTGGGGCACGGCCCACTCGCTCGACCGTGTCCTCAAGGTAGTGGTTGGAGATTCGGGTGATGATGGTCTCGACGTACTCCTGCTGCTCGGCGGCGCTGATCTCATGTTTGTCGATGATGAGGGAGGCAGTCTCTTGAAGCACGTTACGGACAATGCCGCGGATGCGAGGGTCCTTGAGGGCTTCAGCAATAGTCTTCTTGCCAGCATTGTAGCCATAGTAGGCCGCAGTGGCGTGGCCGGTGTTGACGGTGAACAACTTGCGCTCAATGTAGGGCTCCAGGTGACCGACCCAGTGAATAGCTGGAATTTCTGGGTGACCAAACTCGCCGAAAGGTGTGGACTCCACCGCCCATTCATAGAACTTCTCGATGCGCACATTGAGACCGCTGTGGGCTGGCTGGCCAGGTACAATACGGTCAATGGCCGAGTTGGCAAACCGGGCTCGGTCTGGCATAGAGCCAACACGGTCTTGGGCGGTGTTGTCTTTGATGAACTGGTGTAGAGTGTCAGTGGCACCGATAGCGTTCTCACAGGCAATGACGGCCAACGGTGTGGTGGCGGTGCGGGCGTCGATACCCTTGGCAATGACGGGAGCGATAAACTTGAGGATGTTCGGACCCACGGCACAGGTTACAACACTGGCGGTTGAGATCTCCTTGATGACATCGCTCTCATGGGTCTTGGAGTTGATTGCACGGTAGTTGGTGATGGTCTTGGTAGACTCGCCCTCATCACTGACTTCAGTGACCTCGTAGGACTTGGTGTTTTGTAGAGCAGTGATGATGCCGTCCATGACATCGACGAAGACGACCTCAAAGCCAGCCGTGTGGAGGAACTCGGCCACGAAGCCACGGCCGATGTTACCACCACCGAAGTGAACAGCTTTCTTCTCCATGTTTAAGTTGAAGAGATGTGGGAGTATAAGTGGGAATTGAATTGGAAGTGGAAGTAGAGGCTATAGTAGAGTAGAGTAGAGTAGAGATGGAAGTAGAAGTGGGAGGAGAAGTAGAGTAGAGTAGTTAAGACTAAAGAGGAAGTCGTGTAAGTTGCAGTTTCTCCAGGGGAAAGTGCAGCTATTTAAGGAAAGAGGGGGAAAGTAGGGCAGAAACCATGAAAAGGCCTAGGAACTATATGCTCGTCCCTTGGAAATCTCACGATGACTTCATAGATAGCTCGGCGACGGGACTAACCTCCGCCCTGTTTAATGAGGACATAATGAATATTTCCTATCCCTGTATTATTCCTCGATTATTTACTTTTAATTCTCGATTTCGCTCTAATATTCTAAACAAATAGGATTATTGACCCGAGAGATGTTACATTTCTTCTTCCTCCCCCCCCGCTTTCATGTCTGTGCAACTCCAACCACCACCGAGGGCATACAGACAATACACTATTCCCATTTGAGTGACTTATAGGTTTCATTTCATGCACACGCTGGAACCATTCACCGGCAAAAGAAAAGAAATCACCGGGAAAACCCGCCCATATTGGTCAATACTTCGCGCTTTGACGAGAATCTTGGCGACTACAGTCGGAAAATCAGCCGGGAAAAGTCCAACGGAGTACAGTGGTCCTAGGAGTCTGAGCCATTATATGGAAACTGGGTATATTGGTTTGAGGTATAATACATGGTTACTCCAAGGAAAGTTCGAGACTCTTCACGATATTCAATAGAACCTCAACTGATATCCACATGCGGTGACGTCGGATGAACGGTTGACCCAGTTTTTTCCCCATTAAGTAGCGGCCAACTCCATCAAGCCGAGGTCTTTATTCGAAGTACGTCTATCGCCTTCCACGCGCTCTCGTTCTAGCCCCGATGGACTATCAGATCACTGCCTGGTTTGCACTGCCCAACATGCCTGAGCCCCTGGAAGTTAGGGGGAAAAAACCTCACCCTCGAGGTACCTCCGGGCCCGACCATTGGCCCCTCAGATATCGCAAGCCGGATTGGCAATTTTGCAATTTCGCTTGAAACTAGTTAGATTGGCTACTGTTCTCTATTGGTTACGCGGGAAGAATCTGATGGGTGATATCATTCGATTCATAAATGGCTCTCTATCTACTATAGGACGGATTATATTCGATTCTGCGAGTTTCCCCGATCTCCGCTCCCCCATCTGTAACCTCCGCTCTCCGACTGGCTAAGACCACCGCTCCCTGTGCTGATTACCCCTCTATATCTTTTGAGACGGCCGCAGGCGCATATCCAGCCCGTTTGTTAACATAAACATTCACAAAGCAAGCAACGCTACCGGCGAGTAACAGCCCCACCGCGGCCCAAGTCATCCCAAGGAATCTCTCGCCATAATGGGCTGTCACGTTCGAGCCCCTGCCGTGGGCATTAATTAGAGCGACAAATTCAAAGGCGATCACCGTTGCGATTATAGATGCGACGCTGACGGTAAAAGACCCGACCTAATTTTATGATATCATGGTCAGCCATTTGCATTTGCCGTGTTCTGGGGAAATCCGAACTCCGAACTGGAAATGGAAATGCACCACGCTGAACTGGGAAGTACACTCCAGTGCTGCCTGCATAAACGACCTGCAGAAGCAGAGTTTATGTAGGGGGCTAACTCGATCACCAGATCGTGTTCGTGTATAATATAACTAACTCACCATGAAAAACCAAAATTCAAGCGGGCCCTGGCATGCGCGCGGAGCGAGAGTCGTCCATACTCGTACAAGCATCGCAGCGCCCATCGCGCCAATGCCGATACAGTACATCACCGCCATGACTTGGCATGTCATTCTGAACGCGTGGAAGTCGTCGCTGATCACGCGCTGCCACCTCATCTCCGGACTGGAGGTGAGCTCCTTCGGCCAGGCTTGTGTCGGGTCAAATGAGGATGAAATCGCGCGGTTCGAGCATTCGGTCACGTTGCGCGTGACTTCTGTGCCCGGGTCGATGGTCACCAGTGTTCCCTGGCAGTAGGACATGACGTGAACGGAATATAAATCGCGCGCTCCACTGCCGGTGCTGTCTGCGGGTGTGTAGAGCTAAATGGATAAAGGGGGTCAAGTCAGTCTTCTGACTCTACCTGCCACTTCTAGAGAGTAGTTGGAGACGGTCGGACTTACCGTTAAGATTTCCACATCGTCGAGGAAGTTCCTCTGCGTCCCTGAGAAGAGACATAGGAGGGTGAGTATAAACGCGACGAACACTGCCACCGTCTGGAATAGGCCCTTGAAGTCCGACATGACGGCGAGCCGGGTGTATGCGTTGATCTGGTCCTGATGTTCTGCAAGATGTAGTTGGATCCGGTATGCAGCCTCTGGGGATGACCACAACAGATGATGTGAAAGCTCGATATTCAATGAGAAGACACACACCCGAATCTGCGATTCTCGCCCGGTTCGCGATCCTTATATACATACCATAATGGAAGTGGGATAGTCGGGACGACCGGGATCAAGATTTCTCACGATCGCTTCATTCCAGACGTGGGCTGTTAGAAAGGGCGGGGGCACATATATTCTTCATAGTAGTATCGAGAGTTAATTCTTCGTGGAATGTATGCATTGCCCGTAATTGCATACAGAGCAAAAGCCATACAGAGCAAAGCCTACGGCTATTCGAAATGTAAGTCTGGAGTAGCCAGGTATGATGGCTGGGAAGGGGATGAGCGTGGTCTTGTGCTCTTCAGGAATGTTCGGAATGTTACCAGCCACGAAGGATCTTGCATGTCGATATCGTACTTGTGCTTTATTAGTGGGATCTGGCATTGATGGATTAGTTTAGATAATAATTAGATATGACTTGAGCATGAATTGTATCTATGGGCTGGTTGGGAATATTTCAATCTCAGAGATGAGGGGATGTGCCAGGGCTATATATTAGACCCCAAGAGACCCCAAGACATTTGACGTCAGCGACAGGGGTTTTTAGTACTTATTGCCTTGGCCATAGACCTTTTTGCACATGTTCTTGCGCTAATCCCCAGGTTGGTACATCTCTAGAAATTGCTCGGCACAGAAACCTCAATTTCTCAGTCAGTTGGAATTTCAGCCCAGATCAAAATTTACCTGATTGAGCCATTTTGCTTTGTTTGAATGGAAAGCAGCTAATTATTATGGCAAATGTCGAAGAAATAAGGAAACACTCGTCTACCACTGCGATTTGACTTATTTATGTTCCTGTACGGCGTGTTCTCATCGGACAAGGGGTAGTATAATCCCTGGCGGAAACTTGTTGAGTATAAACATTTATGGATCGCTATCTCTAGTTTATTTCGATTGCATGTTTACTGCTGACCTTGTCAATTTGCGATCAAAAGGATGACAGCAATGGATTTGATCAACTAAATTTTTGAGTCTATTGCTCGCGCTTTCCCTTTTCTTCGTTCGCCTTTTCCTCCTGGCTCTTCAATTGTTGGTGGAAAGCCAATGTATATTCATCCGGGTCCCACGATAAAACTCTGGTATTCATCTCTTGCAGCTTGCGAGCTACAAGTAGTTCCATCTCATCCTTTTGTCCCTCATCCAACAGACCAAGGCGTTCCTTCCAGGCGTCCTCTGTATTTTCGGTGGGTCCAAAAAATCGCGAGTCGATCTTCTGCCAATATATATCATCAAAAGCAAAGCTGTGCAACGCTGCGTACATAATCCAGAAGTCTCCACTCTCCCAGCTGTCATTCATAGGACCGGAGAGTCGCTGATCTTCTCGCAACCGACCCTGTTGGATTGCTATATCTTCACAATTCTTCATCGTTTTGAGGAACGTCTTTAGACGAGCATCGAACGATCTCGTCCAGTCATCGAGGCCCTTTGGCCAGTCCTCGGGCTTCTCAATGAGCAGCCACCAAGGCGGCGCATAAGAGAATTCAGTGGGCGCTGCGTATGTGAACTCCCAATCCACCACGCCGGCAATATGCATATCCTCCTTGAGTAGTACATTAGCGGGCCTTAAATCATCACACCAAAGTTTGAAAGGCCCTTTTTCGAGTAACGGGTTTGTGAGTCTCTTATCCCTGGCGAGCTTGCGAAAGAGCTGCCGCGCCACAAATTTCCGCCGACAGTCGTCTGCAGACTGCACAGAGTCATTTCTCTGATGAACTAAATGATTGATATTGAGTTCTGCAAGCGTTTCGATATATGACGAAGATGTGTCGAATGTTGTATGTAGGTCAGGCAGTTTCGACCGCGGCAGTCCTCCTAGTCGAACAAGTTCATTCATATTCATTGATAAAGGCCGACGTGCTACTTCCCAGGTGAAGTCATCGGTTTGGCTAAGGGATCCTATGCGAGGAAAAGAGAGGAGAGAGAGTTGAAGCAGTATCCCTGCCAGCTGCCCATACAGCATTTCAAGCCTATCTTCGTCGATCTCCGGGTCCAAGATTCCACGTTGCCCTTTCGGACATCCCGGTGTGTTAAGAGCGTCGTACATTTTCGTCTCGTGGTCAATATAATCCATAATAATAAATGGGCTGAGACCGAGGGGACTCTCTTCCTTTGTGCCCGAGTGAAGAATAAAAGGAACAGGTATTGATGTTTGGTCGGCGAGGAACCGCATGACAGCAACCTCATTCACGACTTTTTCCTCGGGGAAAAGGACAGCACCGGGCTGCGATAGCCGGATCACGGTGGCACCATTTCGGTACTTTAACCGCAAGGATATATTATATGAACCCTTTCTGAGTATGGCAAACTCGGTAGCAGCGCCTCTGTTGTGATTGAGGATGAAATCAGCAATCGGTCTCAGGGTGTCAACTTCAAGAAATTGAACAAGCCACTTGTCAGACGTTTCCTCAGCTTGTTCCCAGGCCATATCGTCGGGGCACATTTGAGTCTGCATATTTGCGTCTTGTTCAATTGATGTACAATAACATTAGTGAGATAAAAGCCGAGACGAGGACCGGAACAAACAGGGTTGTGGGGTTTTTTTGGAGGGACAGGGTTATCACATGACTATTGGGGGCTCCTAGCGATCGGCAGAGCCAGCCTCATATCATGTCATATGCAGATGCCCAAGGGGAAGACAAGAACTCTGCCAAAAGACGGGGAAAAGACGGGGAAAGAGTTTCAAGCCAGGAGTTCGGATTTCCCGGCCCAAGATAGGAGAACAGTATCCACAGGCCGGCGAAGAATCTCATGAGAGGAGGAAACATGTCACTGCCAACTCATACCGTTCTAGGTAGCTCTTGAAGAGTCTGCTATTAGTAGATATCTTCATATCCACCATCTTCATTTTCATTGATGTAGAGTGGTCTTATGGTTTACTGTTCGGATCTGTTCCTCCGACGCGATGAGCAAATGGCGAATTCTCATTGAAGCTTCTTCGTTAAATATGATATTTTTGCATTTCTAGAAGGATTCTTGGAATAGAAATGCGTCTCTACAATGTTGCATTAACCTAGAGACTATCTCATCTCTGAAGAGTTGTTACAGCCTCAACCTTGGAAGGCTCCGCTGTGAACATCCTGACGAATCATATGCACTTTTCGGGGTAACCTTGAAATCACCTATCCTAATAGTAAGATTCTAAAAATATGATAGAAGTGTAAAGTGTACATGAAAAACACCATATATATTACGTACAGAGGTTTAGCTCTCTTACTTCAGCATACTTGTTGGTTCTTGGAGTTGATACTCAGTAACTGACTTCATCTCCACTATATATATCTTGCTATATTCACATGTCTATGACAAAGTATACATTCGCAAAAGGGCAACGGCACACGACAGACATTGCCATATTCAGATGTTTCTGTTCTTATCATCATAAGGCTATATCATCACGTTACCATTTACACATTAAATTAAGCGAGCCTATGTTGTTTGTCTCATTTGTGAATAGTGGCACAAACCGACCGCCCTTAGGATACCTATAAGAAGGTGGCCCTGTCCCCAGAACTTCTTCTTCTTTTCTTTCTTCTTCAGCTCTCTTTGCCTCTGGCTTAGATCATGTGTAGTATCTGTTCTTACCAGTTTAATCTCTGGTAGTTCTGCATTGCAGAACGTCATGATTATTCCAATATTTAGACCTCGCGACTTGGCCTCTGTGCTTGCACACGCCTCGTTGCACAGTGTCACTGGGCTTACACTACCCCCGGTCGACGCGAACTCCTTTTCATCAACTGTTCGGCTTGTCCGGGCGCTTGGAGAAGATGTGTGCTTAGGATCTACGTCCTTGCCAAGTGGTTCCATTTTACACCTTGTTTTGTTTCGTATGTATATTTTGTAACTGCTCATGGTAGAGACAGTCTCCCAGGCAACAATAATGAATGTGTTGAGACCGTTTCTGTCTTGGGTTGGTGAGACCTGCTCCCTACCTTGTTTGAACACCAATACAACCCTTGGCTTCCTTCCCCATCAGAATGGCATCTCTACTACCCCCTGCCTACATTGTAGCCCATGTTTACTAAAATTATACCATAAAATCTCCGAACCAGGGCAAACAGATTTACCATACGTAATTGCCTTCCAAGGTCAGGATTTTTGAAAGCAATGAAATGATCAAAGTATCTGATGTAATGCATATTTCAAGAGAACCTCGAAGCTGCTTTATTTATGAGCAAGGAATTCCAGTACTTTCGATCCAAAGTTCTTTTCCATTTATTCAACCATCTACGATCTGCAGAAGGACTTGTTTCGCTCTAGAAATTCAACCTAAAGCCTTTCCAACTTGGCCAGCTCATTAGTATTGGGAGCACGATTTATCAAAGATAACCTACCATGAAGGTCTGATCTCTGGATTCGTAGAACGGATGGCAGAACAAGGAGGAGCAGGTACAAGTGATCTTCCTAGCTCACCTGGTTTGATATACGTGTAACTCCGAGCCTTGTGTACATTGTTGCCTGCTAGGACCGAATTATAGAGTCGAGTTCCTGTTGGTGTAAACAAACCTAGTGTGCGATAGTTTTAATGGTGGTTTTTCATGGTTTTTTGCTTCTTTAACCATTCAATTCATCTCATATTGCGTGCACTTTGACGTGATTCCTCAGTAGACCTCGTATCATCAGACATGTCACTTTATATTTTGTTCCCCAAGCTGAGGGTCATATTCTTTGCGAATTATGAATTCCCGCTGTATTCGTTGATGGTGATTCTGCTGAACCTAGGAACTTTGCACATTGGCTCACGGCCAACCTATTTAGGACATCGGAGACATTAAGGTTCTGAATGGATTAGTTGTGGAAGTTGTACATGTGATCATCTCCCTCTAGGGCTGAAATTGGAACATCGGATGATTATATAAACTGTTAACCTATCACCTGTTCATGGATGAATTAGTCCGTGCCAAAGCAGGGAAGTGTAGACTGACCCTAGGAGATTACACGAAAAGAACTTGCAATGCAACGTATGTCGAAAGTTGATAATGGCACAGTCGGATAGGATGAGCCATTAATATCTGACTCAAATGACTTTGCCAATCATATCACTAAACGAGGGAACTCTGTATAAGACTCTCAGTGTAGCTTTTAGCGCGCCCTATAGGGATGAGTTACACAACCACGTGAAGCAACATGCATAACAAAGAGATCGAGAAATAAAAACGAAGTCACTAGTACCCGGACTTGAACATAAGTTTGTGGTGCCGATGTGATAGAAGTGTCACCTGGGCCGCGACACTAATTATTGATTATTCCAAACCTCCACGGGTTCGTTTGAGTGGCTGTATGAGGTTCGGAGATACCGAACCCTATGTACGTACCTAAGGTTCCTACTCGGTTATTTCGTCGGCCGATGTCGAAGTAGTGCTATGTACCCCGTATCCGTACCCATCATGGGACGACGCGACGCGGTCTGGACCCACAGAATCTGCACGGAGTAGTCAAGTGCTTAATGCGAAACAGCTACGGGAGGGCAGCTGGAATAGGGCAATCTTCCTTTGCTCTTCTAGAAGGCAGATGTATGCCGTCTGCAAGCTGCAAGGGCGGCATTCCAGACGGAGCAGCCACGAGTAAGGCGAAATAAGCAAAGGAATTCATACATGTCTTCATTGGTAGCCGAGATTAGTATCCACGCAAAGCATAGCATATAGCGCAAACCCCCGAACCGAAATGGAAAAAGGGGAAATTAGGCCGAATTAGACTGCCGGGCGCATCTCATACGCAAGGCACATGTGTGGATACAAAAGTTTGTCTGATACATTCCCGAGGATCCTAATGTAGGGGTGTTGACCGAGACATCTAACCACATCAAACCACGCGTGAATTCCAAGGTTGACATGTTTAGCGCTGGCAACTGACCACGCGAAATGCGAGCACGTGCGTGTTATTATCAAATTCAACCCTTGGCCGACCAAGCCTTGTAGAAGCTCACTTGGCGACGCCTCGCCGGGACGCCTTTTATTGCTTGGTGGTCTTGGAATTTCTTGGGATGATGCGAGCGACAAGAGCAAGCTTTAGCCAAGAGTCTAGGAAGTCTTGACATGTAGATGCTCGCATGTCTCGATTTCAGAGACGTTCGTGGTCCCAAATTGGTCGAAAGTATACAATCTTAGTATTGATAGACGCGGATTTCGCGTGGCAACTCGCATTGATGTTAATCTAATCGATATCGTCTAGTAGATACGCCGGCTAGATCGGAATGTAGGACAACAGTGACATGCAACGCGCCAACACGTGTTGGAGGTAAGTTCAGATTTTGAGGGAAGGTGCGTAAAATGGGGTTGCACATGTTCCAATGCGGCCCGCTGATTGGCCACAGATCATGCATGGACGATGCCGGGGTTCCCAACTAGCGTGGAACTGCCTCAGCCACTAACGTCAATATTAAATGGTCCAGATGCGGCCCGTTTTGGGACTTGGGGGTTCCATATGGAAGAGATTAATGGGAGAGAGATTGCTTGTTCGCTACGATGCGGCGTAGATATTGGACAATGGCCTCAGAAAGGCTGCACGTGTGTCAAAGCGTGAATGTTATTCTGCTTGGAACCGAGATGACCTCCGGCTCCGGGACTAGGTGTTTGGAGGTTGCCACTTGGCCCGAGGCATCCAATTGCATTGGCATTGCCTTGGCATGAGGTTTAGCTAAGGATTGAGTCTATATGAATCCTGTCCATTGTCGATGCTTCTGCATATAACAGCATAATTGTAGATACTCCGTACATGTATGTAGGAGTAATTATTATTAAACATCTAACTCAAAACGGTGAACAGAATTTATCGGCCCCGCGAAAGTTTGGGAAGATCTGCCTTGAACCGCAGGCGGTGGCAAGCAGATTTGGGATTCTGCCCCCACGTGCGCGTTTGATTGGTCTCCGGCTCCCCCATATCAGATCCACCGGACCCACTCCGCCCCACTAAAAAGTAGAAAATCTGCTTCCGGAGCCAAAACCAGCAAGAGTAGACCCATAACCGCACCGAGACAGGGCCCCGGAGGGCCCTGACCCCGAGATAGAGTGGTTCCTACCTTCTGACTTTCCAAGACTTTTTTTTCTTTTTTGCCAATTTTTTCTGAGTTTGAGGTGGAGAGACGCCACTGAATTGTGCCGTTGCATGTCGTCCACGCTCCGGTTCGCTCACCTCTCACTCCTTCTTCCTCCAACCTTTTCCATACATAAGAAGTCAATCGCCGCCTTTCTGGGTTGAAGTCACTCACCTTCCTCAACCATTGTGGTCACTTCGACGCTTCCCTCTCCCGAGTTGAAGCTTACATCAAGCAAGGTTCTTGCTCACGCGACACATCTCAGTACACTCCTACGATGACCGACTTTGGTCCTCGTGCCCCTCATGGGCCCGACATGTCGGGAGACCATAACCCGCTGGAGGATATGGATATCCATGAGAAGGGTGCTTTCGATTCTCTCATTCGCCCAGACGACAGTTACACCCCCGAGGGTGTCTACTGGGCCGATCTCCCATTGTGGAAGAAAATCACATTCGTCACCTCGTACAACAACATGGAGGCAAAGCGAGAGCTGGGTGGCATTTGGGCTATGATGAAGAAAGACCCTCTCTCCCCCGTCTCCTGGTACTTCCGCAACATGGTCCTCCCTGGTGCTGGTCTCGGTCTCGAGGGTTACGTGCTCTTCTCTATCGGCAACATCAAGCCGCTGTTCCAATCTGCCTTCCCTGATTGCTGGAAACACGCCAAAACCTGCAGTCAGGGCTGGATCTACGCCATTGACTACCTCGAGATCATCGGTATCATCGTGGGTCAGATCCTGGTTGGAGTCTTGGGTGACTGGTAAGCTACAATTGGCCTCCTCTTCAGAAGGAGATCGTACTAACGCACCACTAGGCTTGGCCGTCGATGGGGTTTGATTCAGGACGCCGTGATCATGCTTCTCGGTCTTATCATGTTGACTGCCGCCTGGGGTGTGACCCAGAATGGCTGGATCATCTGTTACGCTTGGTGTCTCTTCGTCTACGGTATCGGTGTTGGTGGCGAGTATCCCATGACTGCTACCGCCGGTATGGAGAACGCCGTCGGCTCTGGAAAGGTTTCCACCAAAGAAGATCGTCTGCACCGTGGCCGCAAGGTCACCAGTGCCTTCCTGATGCAGGGTTGGGGTCAGTTCTTCAACCAGGTTGTGCTTATCATTCTCCTGCTCTGCTTCCACCACGGCAGTGGTAACAACCCTTACTCCACCGTCGCCGTTCAGTGGACTTACCGTGTTTCCTTCGCCATTCCCGCCGTCGGTACTTTGTGGCTTGTGTACTACCGTGCCTACCACATGAAGGCTGCTAGCAAGCAACTTACTGCTGCCAAGAAGAAGGCCTCCGTCACCGGCTATGATGCCCAGTCTCTAAAGCTGACCTTCAAGTACTTCGGATTCCGCATGTTCGCAACTGCTGGCGGCTGGTTCGCCAACGATGTTTTCTTCTACGGCAACAAGCTCTTCCAAAGCGAGTTCATCAAGGTTATCAGTCCCGAAACTAGCTCTGTCATGCCTACCTGGCTGTGGAACTTGGTCAATGTCGGCGTCTCTCTGTGCGGATACTACTTGGCCTCTTTCCTGATCGACAACAAGCTGTACGGTCGCAAATGGATGCAGATCGTTGGTTTCATGCTCTGCTTCGTCCTCTTCGTCGTCCCTGCTTTCCACTTCGACTACTACCGCCGCCCCGAGAACATCAAGGCCTTCCAGGCTATGTACTTCCTGAGCTCTTTCTTCAACCAGTTCGGTCCCAATTCCGTCTCCTTCCTGGTCGCTGCCGAGGTTTTCCCCACACCCATTCGTGCCTCCGCCCACGGTATGTCCGCTGCTTGGGGTAAGGCCGGTGCCCTTCTGGCCGCCGTCCTGTACAACTACATCGATACCCAGACCAAGTTCTACGTCGTGCCTTGGTTTGGTCTCGGTGGTGCTCTGATCACCGCGTTGTTCCTTCCCGATACCACCGGTCTGGACCTGAAGGAGCAGGAGCGCCGCTGGCAATGTCTCCGCGAGGGTCGCGAGCATGAGTACCACGGTCCTGCCGTGCACCCCAAGCACCTGTCATGGTACGAGCGCTACGTCCTGCGCAAGTCCCGCTACTACGATGCCGAACTTGACTACCAACAGAAGGTCAAGGAGTACCGCGTCGAGTGGGAGACCGCCATGGCTGCCAAGGTCGCCGAGAAGCAGGCCCACGAGCATGACACTGATGACTCTCTTCTCGAGGGCCACGTGCACACATACTTCCACCGCACTAGCCCTATGTTCAAGGGCATGGAGAAGAATGTGTCTTCCAAACAGGATACCTTCACCTTGCCTCCCGCTGCGGAGAGTGAGTCCTCGGATGCTTCCACCCATGAGAAGCATTCATGAGAAGCATTAAGCGGCTAGTTTGCTCGGTCCTCAGGTTATTGCCTGTGATGTGACCATGATACCTTTTTTTTCTTTCTAAAGCTAGCTATGATAATTCCCCCTTATTTCAAAATTTCAATTTTTTCTCAAACAACCATGCATATACACCAAGTCGCTTTTTACCTTTATGCTCGCTATATGAATTGCATGACTTTCGCTTGACGCATCAAGCGAACCGTTCGATTAATTAGATATTTATACCATTTTTGGACTTATTGCTGTACATCTCATTCTTGAAGACCGTTCATCGTAGTCAACAATCTTGGAGAGATGCCTGAGGCAGAGTGGCTGACTAACATAATATTCTCCTCCACCACATTGATGGATGTATATGAACCGAATCGCACACTTAATTAAATCCGATGATACCCTAAACATAAAACCCAAAGAAGAAATAAAAGAAAAGAAAGGACCATGAAGCTCTTCGCCTTCGGCTCTAATGGATCAGGCCAACTAGGCATCGGCCACGAAGAAGACGTCTCCACACCAACGCAATGTCTCTTTGAGCAGCCAGAGCCACCACAAAACACCAATCTCGCCGATCGATCTGAAATCATCACCATCGCAGCAGGCGGAAACCACACCCTGCTCCTAACAACCAACGGCTCCATCTACGCCGCGGGCTGCAACGCAGACGGACGGTGCGGGCCGCACAAAGCAACCAAAAACCCCCAAGAGCCCGAATCCAACATCCTGCGCTTTCGTCAACTGATTATCCCAGACGCACTTTCAGTCTCCAACACAGAAATATCCAAGTTCAAACACGTTTCCGCGACGTGGGAGGGCACGATTTCCGTAGCGTCCGTGCCACGACGCGGCAGCAATACCAATAACAGTAACGATAACAATAACGTTGTCTACGGCCGCAATCCAGACACAGATACAGAAGATCGAGTCTTTGTATTCGGCTCCTCGCCCAAAGGAGAACTGGGTGTTGGTCCGAACACCCCCGCCCCAGTCCCAGGTATCTGTATCCCCTCGTTCCCGCCAGCGGGGTTGAGGATCACAGCGCTGGCGAGCGGGATGGCGCATTCGGCAGCTGTGCTCTCGAATGGGGATGTTTATGGCTGGGGCGCGGCGCGGAAGGGCCAGCTCGGGGAGGAGAACCGGGGGGCTAGGATTGCTTATTCTCCTGTGAGGATTTGTGTGCCGTTTTTTGCGGAGGCTGTTGCTTGTGGGAGGGAGTTTACGGTTGTTGAGGGGCGCGGGCGGTTTGTTGTTCTTGGGGATAGGGGGAATCGGTGGGGGGTATTGCGGATCCCGGGGAGTTTGTCTTTGCGTGCGCATGGAGGTTTGGGGGATCATTTACGGGATGAGGATGAGGAAGGGGATTGTGAAGGTGCTATTCGTTATCGATATACTGGTATTGCGGCTAGTTGGCATGGGGTTTATGTACATGCTGCGCCTGGGCTTGGACGGATGGAACCGTCGATAACGGACGAGGCGTTAGGCACCAAGTCTCGATCTGTTTCTGATTCTGATTCTGTCGGTGGTTCTATTGTTGCTTGGGGGCGCAATGATCGAGGTCAACTTCCGCCCCCGGATCTTCCGACTCCTGTTAGACTCGCTGTCGGTAGTGAGCATGTCCTTGCTCTCTTGGGAGATGGTCGAGTGGCGGCGTTTGGATGGGGTGAGCATGGGAACTGTGGACCCGATACAGATTCACAGGGGAATGTGTCGGGGACATATAATGTGATTTCGCTCCCCGAAGCCGTGGGGGTGGATGAGAAGGTTGTCGGAGTTGGAGCGGGATGTGCAACTAGCTGGATGATTGTGACATGATCGCTGGGTTTTGGGAGCGTCGAGAGTTGCTGGCAACTGCACTGCCCCTGAAAGGGTGTGTGTGCTCAGTCGAAGAAACCATATTGGCGTACCTATCAACTATCAGCATACGCCTATCAAAGTGTCGCAAGAACCAGAATCCACATACTTGAGAAAAACGTTGTGTTGGCGGGAGACCTGTGTCATCGTCTGGCTCATCCTCTCTCAACAAGGCAGGCTCCGCATCACGAATAGTTGCCCCGAATGCGTCCTGGTCGTTTGGTTAGCCACCCACTATGCCTATACCCACTGGAGAAGAAAGAAAGCCACATACCTGTGTTCCCGACGCATCCCATCCAAGAATATCCTGCGGCTCCTCTTCGTCCTTCATCTCATCCCACTGCCGGTCATCATCAGCAGGCACGAAAAGGCTATCGAATTCCATGGAAAGCCCAGACGCCGCCGGTCGATCTGCGCTAGCCCTCTGGCTCAGATTCTCCTGTGTAGACGACCCATTGAGAGGACGGATGGACCTGGTTCGTGGTGGCGGTGGGCGCATCTGCGTATTTGCCGTCACCGATGGGCGAGCATCACGCGGCCTAGTCGCTGAGACTGGGATAGGCGCGGGCGTTTGCCGTGGGATTGTCGCTCGTGTTGACGTCGAGGCGTCTTCGCTATCTGCCTGGCCGCGGGTCATGACTGTGAATTCTGCGTTGATGCCTTCAAATCCGTACTCCAGCTGCAGAGGCTTGCAGGGTCGGGTGTACCGTGCTGTTACGGTGGCGTTTGCCGTTTCGGCGTGCGCAACTACGGCTTTGAAGTCTTTCAGGTTGATCGCGACGTGCATGTTCTCTTCGACCAAGTACTCTTGGAAGTCGCGCGTGTCTGCTGCTACGGATGTGTGGACAGGGTGTTTTAGTACTTCTGTTTGGGTTGTTAATTAACTAGACATCTGAGATTTGATGGAGGCGAACTCGACATACCCTTGCCTTCGGTGATCTTTGTTGTAAAACTCGTGAACACCGCTCTGCCGGAATCGGAGTACATGTCTAGCTGCTCGGCAGATAAGCTGAAGTGCTCAATGAGCTGCTTGAGGAACCGTGGATCAGCTGTCCACATGCTGGTAGCTCTGGATTTGTCGAAGATGGCGTGCTGAATGGCCGCTGGTTCGTAGGTCAACTTGTATGACTTGATCACGCCTAGATACAGTGTCAGATGTGCAGTCAAAGCTAAAAAAGACAGATCTATGCAAGTGTATCTTACCTAGTCCGCATATCATTTTCACTGTCAGTCTACACTCGGCTTGCTGTAGATCTTCATGCAATTCCATGTCACAGCGTTCAACAGCTGTGTCCTTGTTTCTGTCAGTTTTCCCGCGAAATATGGAGAGAAGTACCTGTATTCTATATCAGCATAAAGTAAGGAAGATAACCAGTAAATATGTAGGGTACAGCTCCAAGAGTGAAAAGTCTATACTCACTTTGTTATAGATCTGGCAGAAGAATCGATCCAGCGAAACACTGCCACTTCTGCCATTACTGCTGGAATTGAAAGAATACGCCTCAAAGAATACCCCCTTCTCGAACGCGAAGGAGGCAAACCCCGTCTTGGTAGAATTGAGCGCACTGAGGCGGAGCTGGGATACGGTTAGCTAGAACATTTCATTTGCTGGCTTCTAACACTTGGACTGAGCTAAACACCCCAAAGTAAGATAACTTACCATATCAGGCTCTGCTTCGATGGCGACTGTTTCGCTGAATTTGGACAGGCATATCAAGGCGTCGTGGAGCCGGACCAAGGCTAACGGGCCTAGCGACAATGAGAGCGACGTCATGGCTGCGCCTCTTGGTGGCTATCAAATTTGTTCAAGCCTAGAAATGATGTGTAGATATCAATTTACGTATCGCATGGCGCTCATGGCGCGCTGTTGGCTTGAGATTCGATCGAATGAGAAGACGCGGACAAACACATGAGGCATAGCGCGCAGGGTCGTTTTGGCCTGATTGAGGCCTGAATGTCTGAAATTTGGCCTGAATTTAGACCGCCTTTAGGCAAACGACCCTGCCCAGCAAGTGCGCTCTATGGATTACATAAGCTTATAAAAAAAATATTGCCTGAGTTCACCGCTATTTAAATTCTGCCGGCCCACTTGTATGACTACAAGTATCAGAGATGTGCAGTCAACCCAGAAAAGAAGAAAAGACAGATCTATGTAAGGGTATATTACATAGTCCACAGATCATCCTTACAGTCAGCCTGTGGGTGCCAGGTCGATCTAAGAGAAGAAGGAGTGCATTCAATTAAATAACTAAGATGGAGAAAGAAAAAAGAACTAAGTTGCAAAGTGGAAGCAGCCATTTGATATTGTCAAGAATGGGATATGGCCCCTCTAGGCCCTAAACAAGAACCTTGGTTTTTGTTATGGTCTAGTGGTAAATTACGCTGTACGAAATTCAACAGATATAGACTTCATAAACGTTGCAAACAACCAGCCTTCTCGCTCAGCGATCTAACAAACAATCTAGTTTACTATATAATGCAAACGAGTGAGCAAGCAAACATGAAGCATATGATATGATATCTATCGTAGATCGTGACATTTGAGATATAAATGTAACATATGTCGAGTTTACTATGTGTTTAGAGCTGGATCACTTATGGGAAATACGTTAGCTAGTTATGAGAAACAGGTGTATAAGAGAAAAATCGCACAACTTGTGGCTACTAGAATTATGTTGCATGTTAATGTCTCTTTGAGATTAACTAGAACGAATACAAACCAACGGAAACCTGCAATAATCATATCTCAACATAAAACATAGGTTCATATAGACATATAAGAGGGACAAACAAGGGACTCTAGTCTACTATAGACAGAACCATGAAGTAATTACACTGGAGCGAGGCATTGCATCGCCTGAAAAGCAAATACTGTAGCAGCTTGCTTTCCGAACCATAAATGATAAGAGCCCTATAGAAGAATTTTAGCGTCCACTTCTCTGTAAAACTGATATAAGAAATCCCAGTGAAACTAACCTATTGTCCCACAATCGATTGGATTGTTATAACTGGAGCTTAGGTGTGATAAATTGCCCAAGTCATCGGGGTGTTGCCCGTCGCTTTAGTCGGGGTCTGACAAGACATTGTACCCTTCGCACCAACTTTTCCTTTCCACTTGAACTTGGCGATGGAAGAGTTGATGACGTCGGTAATATCCTGATTGCCAACATAGGCGGTATTCAAGACCTGGCCGCCTTGAATACCAAAAGCACAGGTGCCATACTGAGCCAGCTGATGCTGCCTGCCGACGGCAGGGACTGTCCAGGTACCACATCCAGCAATATTTTTGACAAGAATCTGGCAGTCAGCCACGAGGGGAGAACCGCCACTGCTTTGGTTGATGAAGGTTGAGGATCCGCAGTCGTTAATGGAAGCTCGTGCTTCCAAGCGGGGTTCTTTGGGGGCCAATGGAGCAGCTTGGGCAAAGGCCAGGAGGGTAGCAAAAGTAATAGAAGTGGGAATCTTCATGGCGAAGGAGAAAAGTGTTGCAAAATATGTTCCAAAAGGCTGTCAAGGAAGAGGACTTTCTTTGATGGGGAGGAAGTTTTCATAGATTATAGCAGGATTCTGAAGCCCTTTTATATCCATTAATTCTCTGCCCAGTAATACACTCATGTCGCCAAGGAGTTTAATAAATGAATCAACATGAGGATTGCTTCCGATTTGGAGAAAGCGTCAACGCGAAATATCCAGACTAACGGCATAGTAACCATTTGACAAGTATGCTGTGGAGCCCTGCTAGCACCACCATTGCAAGTATTTTAGAATATTGATTTTATGTTAGCAAGATTAGCCTCATTGCGACCTCTTGATATCACTCTTGGATGTTCCCAAAGCCCCAAAGACAGCAAGAAAGTCAGAACTCAACAAGAATCATGAGGTTATTCGAAGCTTTATTGTGTGCACTTCAATATAATTCAAATCAAGGGTGTGGTGGGACTGAGTCAGAGGTGGATTGAAGTATTAAGCCACGAATATTCCTAGGATAATAAAGATCCCTGCATTATGAATGAGCTGATATTCCAGCCTATCCATAATTAGTGAAGGGGAGCTGTAATTCCTTCATGGGTCTGTCTATACTAGACTCCCTCATTTGTTCCCCTCATATGTCTATATGAATAGGTACATACGTAGTTAAGAAGTCTTCTAACAAAAAAACACTTTTCAAATTGTAGATTCTATAGTGAGTGGCATTGGAACCGGACTAATCGCTCTCGGTTGATTTAACGGTCAAGCGGTGACTGTACATGACAGACACGGAGACCCCGCCATAACGCATATATGGGGCCAACTAGATCACAGTTTGTGACTTGGACACACATCAGATACACATTAATTAGAGGTATATCGGAGTAGTTTTCTACAACATAGTCTAACAAGAGTGGAGATTTGGTATCTGTCAAAGGCTATGGATCTAGGACGGCTGCTCGTAGAATGTGGGCATTCTGTGGCTCCTAATCTTCCCCGATGTTAACTCAATTATGCGTCCTAATTAAGTTGTTCTTTGCATGTTTCCCTAAAAAGGATGCGGTCATGTCAATGTCCGCCAACCCCACAGTGTACGGGGTAGCTGTAAATCTCAATAAACGTTCGGAAAGAATCCGAGCTCGAATCTTGTAAACTAAGCTAGTATTCTTGGGGAAGAATAACATGTTATGTTGTCAGAGCGTTTGCTAGTGTGTACCAGTGTGTACCAGTGTGTAACTACGCTCTTTCGTTTCATTTTAGTATTCTTGTTCATCACACCCTTGCTAAGCTAAACGTTAAATCGTGTCTCCGCAAGTAGTTCTATTCTCAAAATATTGAACCAGGATAAGGGTAGTTTTGAAAATCATAACCTGCTCTGGAAAAGCTTCGAGCCGCGCGAAAACCCACTTTTAGCACTATTATAGCTCGTCTTTAAGTCCCCAAATATCTAGGTTGCAGCTTAGAGACTCATAAAGATAAAAAGAGCGGTAGCTATTTTGGAAAAAGGGAAGCATAGCCAATTAGGAAGAAGACACATATTTTATATGCAACATACCACCTTTATTTTTGAGTTTAATTGCGAAAGCGACATATGCGATAGAAGAACTATATTTTTAACGATAGACTCCACAGTGTGGCCTGCCCCTAATGTGTAGGTCCAGAATCCGTACAAAATACTACTGCCAGGCCTCAATATTGAGCTAGTTAGCGTCGGCTACTTTGTACACATGGGCTGACGGGCAGATGTTCAAATGGCCTTATCTGAGGTAGTTTAGTCATGCGAATGGTACTTCTCACAATACACCATGGTATATTACGGCCAAATGTGCCTGTCAGGATGGGCACAATAGGGAATATGTAGCGAGAAATCTGTCAATAACCAAAATAGGCAAATCGGGTAGATCCGGAGATCGCCCTTTAAGGGGATTCTTGAGGCTTAAATGCGTTGAGTAAGCACCGCTCTCCACACCGCCTTATACGATGTATTGTAAATCCTAATTGCTAGTTCAAAATATGACGTTTTTCATCCCAGAAAGCTTCAATGCCGAGAAATAGGGGAATTCTAGAATTTGTGTCACATTTGATGCCCATTTTCGAAGGCGTTAATGTTTTCGACGAAGGGCTCTGTTATGGTAATTCAGGTATTTCAATTTTCTGCCGTTCCAAAATAAGGCACTCAGGCCTGAAATCCCCCCTTTTGGACCCTGTGGTTCATCCGGAAAGCGATGCCCGGCCCGGCCCAGACCGTAGATACCATCTCTTACCTTAGCTTCTGTACTCCGTACATACCACATACACGGTCCACCAGATTTGCTTGTATCGATTCTGGCTTGGCCCCTTTTTTCTCTTTTTCGCCGTTGCTTTCCGATTCACCGATGCCCGAAGTTTGTCCCTCAAGATCCACCCGTGGAGTACTCCGTACTTTTATTCTGTTTATATTAAGTAGAACGGATTCATCTACTTTTCCAGTGGCGCAGCGATCTGCCTTGGATTCCCTAATTGATCTTAGTCCTTAGTATTAAATTTATAATTTGGAGTTCATCTCTTTTAATTCATAGTATACCAGCTAGATGCTAGATGCCAGGTACTTAATAGTGCTCCAGGGCCTTTACTATATATTGAATTGAAACTTAAGAGGCCCATTGTAGATAATAAATCGATTTGAGTCTGTAAAAAAGCCGAATCGAATAACACGCTATTTATGAGCTAGTTACAAAATCTGGGTGGTTAGACTGTTTCTTATACTCCGTGCGTACGGACTCCGGAGTAAGTAGGGTTGTGTTCTAACTTGGACCTTTCTGCCTTGGCCTAAAGAGGAATATTTCAAAAGAAAATAATAGTAATGGGAATATAACTTTTCTTTCATTTAAAGGAAAAAAAAAACACGGTATCATGGAAAATCCTTCCAAAGTTGTTATTATCAAAGTAGAGATTCGAAAAACCACAGTTTCAAGGACCCTCTTCGAACCACGCCATTATTTGTACACCAACATATAAACAATATGATTCTGATATTATGAGCCTACGTCTATCCCCGGTTGTCCTGGCTCAGAAACGTAGTTCAGAAATATAAGTTGTGGGAAATGTCGAGAAAAGATACCATTTGTATGGCAATACCATACAAAAAGGTACTTATTTTACAAATTTGTAACTAAGCTAATTTTTTGCATTGAACCCTGTGGCCCAACTTGGAAAGAGGTGTATTGGGACCGTATACATCAGTTGGTAGGTGGGCGCATTGTATACATTAGGGCCAAACCGTGCAGTGGAGTCTATCATTTGGCCCCGGGCTTTGCTGAGATCCTTCTAAGGAGATCTTTCAACCACAATATGCTTATTAACTTCTTTATGGGCTTGAAATGTCTTCTGCCGTCGTGGAACCTGGATCTTGCTTACTTTTATTGTCGCCTTTCACAATGATTTTGAACCGCCTAGCTCCCACTTCGGGACTTTCAGCAACCAGCTCGGTTCAGGTGCTTCGGACTTTTCTTTTCTTTCTGTTCTTCTATGTTTTACTCATCATGGCCGCACGCAGACAGTCTTCCCGTGACCCATCCTCAATATTTTTCGATCCAACAAAGGCCTATGATCCTGTTTATTCAGCTATCAGACTTGAGCAGGCAGCTTCTTTCATTGATAGAGCAAACAATGCTACAGAGTCGCAGACACCAAGGGGCTCACGACATCCTAACTTTTGCCTGGGAATTGCCACCATTGCACGAAAGGGAGCCAGCTATTTCCAAGCTACTGTAGGCACATTCCTTGAGGGCCTGAGTGAGGAAGAAAGGGCAGACATTCACTTGATTCTATTCATCGCGCACACGGATCCGTCGCAGCATCCTGCGTATGCAGAGCCGTGGTTGTACAAACTAGCGGATCAAGTGTTGCTTTACAACGCCTCCGAAATCGACGTTGATCATATACGCTCTCTAGAAACAAATGAGGCCAAAATAGCAGGCCGTGAGAAGGCTCTCTTTGACTACACATATCTGTTAAATGCGTGTGCAAACATCGACACGCCGTACGTCATTATGCTTGAAGATGATCTCGTTGCTTTAGATGGCTGGTATCATCGCACTAAAGCTGCTTTGTCCTCTGCGGAAGAACAGACTCGAGAAACGGGAGCGGCGAATTGTGAGTTTTACAGCCATCATGGAACTCTTTAAATTACCTTTCTTTTGCTGACAGTTTTTCTTACCCAGGGCTATACCTGCGCCTTTTTTACACCGAAGAATATTTTGGTTGGAACGGCGAAGAATGGCTTACGTACCTTTTCTTTTCCATCCTTGTCGTCTGCTTCGTGGCCTGCGTTCCCCTGGTCTTCCGACAATTCAATCACCATGCCCGTTCCTTTCTACCGAATACGACAATAATCATTTGGAGTGGTATATTCACACCATTGTTGATTGGGCTCTTTTTTGCCATGGGCCGAGTGACGATGCTCCCTCGAGCAAACGGCGTGCATCAAATGCCCAAATTTGGATGTTGTTCACAAGCCTTTGTCTTCCCCAAATCACGGATACCGGAACTTATCGGGCTATACACATCCAAGCATATCGGATACGTCGACGTGCTCACCGAGGAATATGCAAATGCGAGAAATGAGATTCGCTGGGCAGTGACGCCAAGCATTGTACAGCATGTTGGGCGGAAGAGCTCCAAGGGCGCTGACAATGATATCTCATCACACGTCAAAATCAAGTCAAAGGCTGAGTTGACAGTTGTAGAGAAGCTTTGGAATTTTGAGTTTGAGATGAACGATGCAGAAGCTTTGCGCGTGGAACATGATGCTGTGAAGCAGCAAGGGGGTTCTTAATGTTCGGTTTTCCTTCGTACATAAAAACTTTTAGATAAAAGCTGTTCTTATGCTCTTGATCGTGCTATACGTGTATAATCCGAATCAAGAAATACCGCTGGACAAAATTCGGATCGTCATCAGGTAGAATAGTTAATATCGATCTATGATAGATCGCTATCATATGCTTCATGTTTGCTTGCTCGCTCATTTGCTTGCTTGTTCACTGTTTGCATTATTTACTTTATTAGATTGTTTGCTAGATAGCTAAGCGAGAAGGTTCGATGTTTGCAACGTTTGCAAAGTGGCTAGCTATATCAACTGGCTGCTTCCCACTTTACAACTTGCTTCTTCTTTCTTTCTCCATCTTCATTATTTAGTTGAATGTGCTCTTTCTTGTTTAAGATCTGGTGCCTCACAATGAGGGCCAACTATCTTTTTGTATTCTTCACCGGGTGTAAGAACATCGGAGGCAAGCAAAGGCGATGACGTCCTCCCTTCCGTATACTATTAGCGAATATCAACGGAAAGTCAAGGGGCCAGCAAACTCACTTTCTCTGCATCATCGTAGCCTAGCCAGGCTCGATAAATCTTTTCGGGGAATTCGGACCCAAACATGTAAGACATTTTCATCAGAATATCATTGTGCTGGTTCCAGCTCCAGATACTATTCCGCCCAGCACTAATCTTGCCAGGCTTGCCTGCATTAGCTCTGAGATTGAGCTCAATTGGATTTGTTTCGTGTGCATGGTAAATGGGCTGAGGAATCTGAACTGCTTTCAGCCCATAATAGAGAGCCCAGGATGTGGGGGACATTTCAGATGCTAGTCCCAGACCCTTTTCGGTTTTATCCGCATGCATCAACCGGAGTAATCGGGCCGAAACACGGGACATAGCGACAACTGATGCCCGGCGCGGAGTACGTCCCTTCTGGCGAAAGTTATATACCCGGTCAGAAAAGGGCCAGTCGGTATGCTGAGGGTCAAATTGAGGCAGCCAGGTGATCACGTCGGCTTCCTCGCCTACGCCCCAGCTCCAAAAATCATCATCATTCGAGTCTGAGTTTAAGTCCGAGTGCACCGGCTCGGGTGCTTCATTTCCAACCTCGATACCTTTTGCAGGCCGTGGTCCCCAGATACTATCAAGACCTATCATGCTCTGGTCTACCTGATCGATAAAGTTGTCCCAGCTCCCGTGGACAGCAGGGATATAAAAGTATGAGTTACGCTCCCACAGATTCTTACGAGGCTGTTGTTTTGCAAAATCTGCTGCCTGCTCGAGAAAGTTATAGAAATGTCCCGTATAACGCGAATCCATTTCAAACTGCCAGAAGAAGTCGTACTGTGGATTTACCCGCGAGAAAATCTGCATTGGCTGAAAGTATTGAAGTATGGCCCTGAAAAATATTAATATTTCGAAATTCGACTGAAGCAGTATAAGAGAGAGCGAGAATGAGATCTTACTCGTGAACATCGATCTTCGGGTACCAGTCCTTTAGTATCTCTGCGTTGAAAAATACTGCCAAATCCTGGAGTTCCCGCGGAAGCGACTTTTTTAGACTGTCCAAGCCTACTGTATCGGCTGGGTGAGGCAAATCAATATCTTTTGCATCAACCAAAAGGGTTACCTCATATTCTGCACCGGATAAGAGTGATAGCTCCATTATCATCGACCGGATATAATAAAAATCATCTTCCGTGTATTCCCTGCCGAGCCATGTACGCAGGACTACCGCGGTGCGTGATTTGAGAATAGCAGAGGCATTGTTTCGATCTGTCTGTATCTTCTCTCCGCTCCAGCGATGTTCATCTGGTTTTTTATCATGCTCCTTGTGGAGAGTCCACATCTTCTCGCCAATTTTCGAAGGTTGATAACGGTTTTCATTGCGATGCAAGCAGTCTTGTTGCAAAGCAGCCCAATTCATATCCTGCCACTGCACATTGTTGCCTTTGTTGCCTTCGTCTGCTTCTTCTGCGTAGCCGTATAGCGCATACCGAGAATATCGGTCGGCGCAGAGCCTCCGATCAAGATTCCACGCCTCGTACGATCCAAATATTGGCATCGGAAAGTCTAGCATGCTATCAGTGCTCGCTGCACTACAATATGCCATCATAGGCTTGTCCTCATTTCATACCTGACTGGTTCCAACGAAACGCTTTCATAGATGTTTCCGCATTCCTACGATCCAAGACTAGGCCATTTGGACCAACACACTGCTGGTAAGATCCTCTCCACGTGTTGTTCCATGCAGCGCTGTTATATTGGGGATATGGGTCGTAAGGTATGGGTAGTGGTTCCTGCGAAGTTTCCAAAACAAGCTGACCGAGGTCATTCCCATCACCAGCAGTGCCAGAGCCTAAATAAAAGGCATTTTTTCTACTAAGAAGAGATGGGTATGTTAGCAATTGCACGAAGACTGCCATATCAAGCGAGGCTTGGATGTCTCCAGAAGCCCTATTAGTCTAGATGGTCAAGTATACCTTGAAGCATAGACTGTTGGGCTGCGCTGTGCTGTAGTAGCTTGCTCTCTTGGCCAATGTAAAAGTACGAAAATTGTCAATGCAAGGCTAAACGCAATTGCAATAAGACTGTGTTTGAGGGAAGTGCGCCATAAATGTCGGCATCTTAGCACGAGGTAGTCAACGAGGTGCATTTTTGAGATAGACCATATGATCTAAACAGCGTTCGTATGCATGGTGAATAATTTATATGTAGTGATGAGAGGAAAAGGAGAATGCACAAACACAAATCATGGCCGTACCATTGGCATATCCCATTGGCCCCCAAGATCGGGAGCCTACAGAATTCCGAAGTTCTTCCGGGGGTCCGCAGTTCACCCGTGGCCCCATGGATGGATATGTAACTATGGAGTACCTGATACGTAAGGAGTACCACGTAGTAATTTACGCCAGCGGGTGCCTAGACGCCCTACCCGATATAGTTCAAAATAGTGTTCAAACAGTATATCTCTTACGATCACTCAAATACAGAAAACCTCACTAATTAGTATGGCCTGTTTCTTCATTAAATATTGTGTGCTTTAATCAATTTCACACTTTGCTCTCTACGGGGAAAAACTAGCCTGTACAAAATATACAATCAGATAATTCGGCCCCCATATTACTTAAACAGGTTAGCTTAGTACTAACCAAGTAAGTACTAAGCGAACTGCGGTAGACCCACCCAAAACGCGTCCATGAATTAACACTTAGTTAATTCAACCACTCACCAATTCGATCCCAATCGTCTACGAAGTTAGTAGAGCAAGAGGGTGGGCTCTTATTAGCTATCCAGGTTTTCAAGAATCAAGAAATCTCTTCAATTTGTGGAATAGCGCGCACCTTCAACGTATCCGAGTCCACACTCCGTACACGTCTACGTGGTATTTAATAACGCGTGACTTCACACCCGCCAACTGCTATAAATTGACTGAAACGGAAGACGAACCACCTCAAAAATGGGTAGTCCTCTCTGTGGATCTACATGCAGCCGGCCTGCTGGCATTCTTCGGTACGAAGTCTTCTCTAACAATTCCCATCCGTGGGCTAAGATGCGAAACTCTAAACCTCCGAGCGGGTCGGCCCGATCCATCCGTGTTCATTCCAAGCTTGTTGTTATGTAACCCATCCCATAAGCATGGAAGATGTAACCGGTAATACCCGTAGCCTAGGGTTTCCATGGAAGCCGTAAACCCATGTGTAGAACAGGCGCTCATGTCAAAAAGCTGCTTGAGGTGCAAGAATATTTGCATATCAATATGTCCAGCCCTAATTAAGGCTTTTATGTACAACAGTCTTGGATAAAATGCCAGATGATGAAAGAAAAAGAAAAACATAAATATCGTAAATAAAAGAGGGTATATTGCTTGCGATGTACCGAATAGAAGGTTTCGTACCAAGTTGGGAATGCTGGGTATCAAATAAGTCGGATCCCCCTACCCAACACCAGGGGCGTTTCCTGTGACGGGGCGCCCCTCCGCATCAGCTCGTGCACCTTCCTCTCTAGCATTTGTATTGATCCCAGGATCTGTATTAAAGGCGCGGTCTTGCTCCTGATCCCGCTGGGGCAAGGGCTGCGGAAACTGCATTTCCATAAACCGTCGTCTGCGTCTGCCGGCTCGAACAGCATGCAGGAAGTTAACCCCAACCTGGGCGAAGAAGATGGCCAGGAAGGCGCCAATCACAAATCCCTGGGAGACATACGTTTCGTCTTTTTGCTTCTGTTGGCCACTGTCGCTGGTTTGATCACGTTCGTTGGGTATTTGCGAGCTAATACCGGGGAACGAAAACTTGGAGCTACCAAATGAGACGGAGACAGAGAAAGAGTACATTGTCAATGACGTGAATACATGCGGCGATATCGAGGTGAAAAATCCCGACAATGGCCGCAATGCTAGAGGGATGATGCAGAATATGAGGAGAGGGACGGATAGTCATAAGACAGAGTAGAGTGATGAGCGAGTAGACCTAATCGGAAATATCAGCATAGCATCTAATAGGGAGAAGAGATGTTGAACCTACCAGTCTCGAGCCTCAAGTTGTCTCGCCCATTTTGCTGAGAGTTTCAGTCTCTCTCGAACACTTGTGGCGGCGAGTAAGGGATATTTCTCTTCCTCGGAGATGGGCAAAATGCTTGCGAACCACCATGGGAAGCGGGCTGCATCTGTAGGGATGGGTCCATATGCTAGCATGACGCGCGGGTGCAGCCAAGGAGCCCCAGATCTGCGCTGGTTGGTGATATACTCTCTTGCTGAGAGGAGTAGCTGTTGTGTTGGCATTAAGCCTAACGGAGGATCAGCTTCATTCCCTTCTGGCAGAGCATTCACACCGTCTGTTGAGGTCTCCAACGACTCAAGTCGCTCCTCCTCTGCGAGCGAGATGTCATCTACGCGCTCTGTTTTGGCAACATAATAGCCGTCCAGCATTCCCGAGTCGACGATCTTGAACCGCGATACGCCTGTAGCCACCACGAGACTGCGACCATCTGGAAGCAGCTCATATCGCTCGATCATCAATAGCGTTCCGTATTGCATAAACGGTGCGTCATGTAATTGACCTGGCTGTACCCGGCCTTGCCGGTTGTGCATGACCATGCCGAACTTTCCATTTCCACTTGCAAGAACCCGCTGAATCATAAGTCGATATTTGGGCTCGAAGACATGGAGAAAAGTAGGCATTGTCGGGAAAGATAGCGTGCACACAAAAAGTGGCAAGCTCTTCTCGTAATCCGCGCCTGTCTCATCCTGGGCGCTGGTCTCCCGTCTGACTGAGATCTGGTCGGGGAAAAAGTATTCGACCAACCGTGCCACAGGCTGGTTTATGGGCTCTGACTGTAGATCATTCGGAATGCCTAGCTTTCGGCGACAAATGGGACACAGATCTGTATGGTTCAAGACCCGCGCGACACATTTTCGGCAAAAAGTGTGACCACAAGGCGTCGTGATCGGATCTAAAAGGAGTGCATAGCAAACCTGACAGTCTAACTCGGCGGAGAGACTGTCTCGCAGTTTTTGGAAGTGAATGAGATCCTGAACTTCTAAGCTTCCGGCTGGGGTTGTGGAATCTCCATAGATGACTTCGCATGCATCAGACGGGAACCGGCCTTCCAGTGCCAGGCTATAGATTCCCCTCAGCCACCCATGTCGCTTCAAATGTCCACTTCCGTTCTGATTCCGCCCGTCGGTTTTCCAGCGCAGTAATGGTCCGTCATCCTCGGACGAGTCCAGAGGCACATTGTCTGCCTCCGACCTCAGTATTTCTCCAAAAAGGCCAACCAGCTTCCCAAGCAGCACATCAGCGCCACAATCTGCAACACAATGGTCCCCACCACACGTCTTATTTCCTTTCCAAAGGCATGTAAATTCCTGATTCCTCCCCTCAGTCACGGGGTACGTAATACCCGTCCGCGGCCGAAGGGCGGGCAAACATTCCCGACAGATCGAATTCCCGCATGGTAGGCGGAGCGGAGTTCGGAAAGGGCGGGAGCACTGTTGGCACTGGATCAATTGGATCACGATATGAGGTAGATCTGCCGTATCGCTAGGTGTATGTTCTTCCGAGCTTGAAACATCTGAGCTTGAGTCCTCCGGGCTCTCCATTACGGTCGGGATGGGTTCAGCGTCGGTCATTTGTGTCAGGCTCAGGGACTCGGCTGCATCTTCCATTACACTGCAGTCCACGGGTACAAATGCAGTGAATAAGAGGGAAACGTAGAAGGATAAATGATGAAGCTCGGGGGGTGGGGGATCCGCTATCTGCAGGTGCTCAGGTGTGGGTCAACTTTAGATAATCGGATCAGTGACCATCCCGAGGTCCGGTGTCGCAGTACATCGTTTATAGTAGTATTCAAAGGTTATACAAAGAAATACTACTAATTGCGTAACGAAACGAAGCAAAGCAAGTATAAATCAAAAGGTCTTACGTACGTGTCACGTGGCCAAGTTTCTCCCAGAGCTGAAATAATAGCGTTCTAATGGGCCATCATGTGATCATCAGTCGCTTCGCTCTGCAACGACCACTAGTAAAAGACTCTTAGCGAGACAACTAGATCATCCATGGATGTCATTCTCAATGACATAGGCTGTAAATGCAGCCGACTTATTCATATACTAACTATAGGCACATAGGTAAATGTCTCAACACACCTCTACCCTCGTCTTTTTTGACGAGCGGAATAAAACTGATGATGCTGCTAAGCAGTGAGCACCCAATCGGCAATCAAATAATTATGCATTTTCCAAACGCCCAACAAGTCTCCGCGCGATGAAAAGAATCCGACGGCGTCCATCCCACAAAGGATATAATCCAACCGTCAGCAAAGTGATCCAGAGCCAAATTTCAGCAACCACAACCCAGGCGATGAAGAACTAAATCTTGTCAGTGACATTATCCACCCTTGACAAAATATAGTGCACTTACTCCTCTGCTGAATATAAACCTAGCACCATACATCGGAAGTGGCCAGAGAACCCAGTGGCCGAAGAAAGTAGCAACGGCCCAAAATAACGCGTATCGTGACCATCTCCTTTGGCTTGACTCGGAAAGCTGGCCCGCTTCATTCCTCTCTTTAGTAACCTCGGTAACTTCACCCTCAGAATGGATAGCCAGGTCGTTATTGCTCATCGACTTCCAGTCGAAGTCTTCCGGTGCAATCAATGTAATCAACACGGAGTATAGTAACGGGCTAACTGCAGATGCCACTGTGCCGTACATGCATGGCAATGTCTGTCCAGTTGAAGAGACTGTAACGGCACCATAGAAATGATGTGCTGTTCCAAGCCAGACAGCGAGGCCCGTGGCTAGACCGAGATACGCCGATGCAATGACCGCGATCCGGCTTTGCTTTCTCCAAAGAATTGACAGTATCAGGGGAAATATCCCGGGGCAGGTTATCACTCCTTCGAGTTATGTTAGAAAACATCGAGTATATCCTTACTATGAATACTTGAGCTTACCAATCATGTAAAGGGTCCAGCCCATGTCAATACCAACATAGTGGAACATTGCAGTGAGGCCTGCCGCGACAAGGCCGAATATAATCACTCCCACTCGACTCCAGAAGATTATCTCTTGATTGTTTGCATTCTTGTTGAAGTAGGTGCGGTAGCCATCAAAAGCCACAATCGAAGAGACAGCAATGACCTGTGCTGACAGTGTAGATGTAACAGCCATAAAAGTCATCAGGAGAGTAGCCACTGCACCACCTTTACCCGCTACCGCGATAGCTGCGTAGGGCAAAGCTAGTCCATTCGTGACTTCAGTACTAGTCATGGGCTCGAAATATCTTAGCTTCAAGATCAAGTATGGAGAACCGATGGCCTGGACTTACTCTCGGATATGTTGGGAAGGCTTTTGTGCTCTCCAATCCCAACGCAACCATTCCCATAATAGTTCCAAGAGCCCAAGGAATACTAAAATAAGATAAACCCCCAATCACGTATCCAGGAACAACACCTTCTGGGGACGCAGCAAATGCCTTAGTGAAGTATCCGGTGTCCATCTATCTCCAATTAGCACCAACTAGCAGACAGCCGTCAGTAATTCGAGGAGGCACTTACAATGACAGCTCCGAAGTTCGACACCAAAAGAATGATTCCAAAAAATATTCCCTGTTGAGATGTCATGGTAAAAAGCGAGCCTTGATAATTTCCATCCACGAGATGATTTGGCTGAGCTGCAATGACAAGATCATACAAACCCCCAATCGAATTTACTTCCACGCTGGTCAACGCTTTGGTGGTCAAATAACAACACAGAATCAAAATAATGAAAGTGTGAATATAATCAGTCAGAAACCTGCAAGCCTCATTAGTGCTGCGGACATATTTCGAGAAACAATCTCACATACGTTGCTTTGATGCCTCCTGTAAGGGTGTAAATGACCACACCAACTGGCAGCAGGAAAGTGGATGCCATGATGTGCATTCCAGTTCTTTCATGGTAAGCCGATTGACCACAAGTGTTTTCTAGCGGTTACCGGACTTACAGATATGTAATGGCGACTGAAGCACCTAAAATCATGTTGATGGTGTTGAAGAGATTATTCACCACAGCCAGAAAGGTGAAGCTTAAGTGAGCGACAGTGCCTTGAGATTGTTAGTTTTCATGCTTCACTGACAAACACGCAAAGTCCTTACCATATCGCATCTTGATAATTTCCAGAACAGTGTGCGCGCTGGGCACACGCTTTTTGCAGACAGTGCCGAGATACGCAAAACAGACGATCATAGGTGAGCATCCAGCACCATACCAGAAGGGGCCACTTACGCCGTATTGATAGGCCACCAATACGGCACTCAGCAATGCAGTGCTCCAAAGCCAGGACTATTGTAGGTTAGCACTGAATATTGTTAAGCATTTGTTCACATACAGATACAACTGCCGAGGCAACTAAACCCGTGCTGACTCTCCGATTGGCAACAATGAATCTAGTTGGGATTAAAAAACAGTCAGATGAGAAGCTTGGGAGAAGCATACGTTTCAGCATTCGAATTATCTTCGCCCACTGTACTTTTCAATGCCTTGGTGACAAATATCATTCCTTTATTCTTTTTAGCATAGTCATGAGAAGAGTTGTGTATTTACGTCCTACCTGCTGCAAATGACAACCCAACACCAATCACGACTCCATATCCCACACCTTGTGATAAGGGGGGAGATATATCGGACATTGCTCTTGAAACGACAAGCTGAAATGGGGTAGAACTGCGCGGAATAATAATATCTGTCAATCGAAGCCATCGTGAAATTTATATGGAGTCTAGGAAATGTCGGCCGAGTTCACCTTAATCTCAAGCTCCAAACATTGTTCCACTTGAAATGCTTTTCTATTCAAGCTAACCATTTCAGGTAATTAAAAAGAGAAAACTCGCTGCTCTAGAGCCAACTGTGAGCAATATGACGTGCTAGGCGTGCTTCATGGCGGAGCTTTTCAGCACCGCAAATAACTAGGGAAAATGATGCAATCCGTCAATTTGGGGTCAATTTGGGGTCAATTTGTCAGTACAATATGGGTACCAGTGCCTGAATATATATAGAAAGGTCCTCTATACGGTTTATACTATTAGCTACAAAACCGAGAAGGCGGAGGAAATATGTACATCTGAGAGGCAGCTGAAAAGAATACCCCAAAAGACAGCGAGTAGGCGGCCGACTATTCTTGTAGTCAACTACTGAGATTTGAAATGGAGTTATGTAATTGAGACACGTGTGTACGGAGTAGTTAGGGGATGCCTTGGTCAATGTGCTATGGAGCGTTATGGTGTCATAGTATGCCCAAATTACTATGCAAAACATATGGAGCGAGCAAGAGAAGAAGAGAGAGAAACTCGGGATCGAGGAATTCATGTGACCAATCTTGCAATGAATAAATTCCCAGCTCCCGAGAGAGCCGAATTCAACCTCCGTAATTGGAGTTGTTGGCGCGTGCAGACGCATGTTCTAGATCTATTAGCACAGCTCATTGTATGGTTATTCTCGGGAAGACTGATTGCTCCCTATGCATAAGCATTTCTAATCTCAGGCCGACTCCATACGTTCCTCCGAATATAAAGAAGAATCAAACGGAACCAAAAACACATGCATCCAGTATCAGTCGTTGGGTGATGGTGCCGGTCCTGAACGTTTAATGATATTTCTGATCGAGGCTACCGTAGTCAAAACGACAGCTGAACTGTGCATGCTGCTTGGTAGGATAAGGTGTTGATACCAACTAACATCCCAACAATCACTGCTCTAGCCGACAGCACGTATGCGACGATGAAGCGCAAACTGACGATTTCCTTGGTAATTCTGCCTCCCACAACCTGAGCCATATCAGGAACGCTATGACACCCTCGATATCTGAGACGGAAGTTGCTTAGGATTACTAAAATGTAGGCGTTGAGCGACCGCTCCCAGGGTGTATATGGCAGTTGGAATGAATCAAACACCCACGGCAAACAAAATCTTGATGAAGATCACTGAAGTCTTTATTCAGCGGACGGTGTGATACTTGACTCCATATTAATACCTCAGTCTGTTCAAGTAGCTTCCTTGCTCGGGAGTCGGAGTCGGGACTCGGTGCTCGCTCTATATCGGTCGGTTTGATATCGGAGTTCCTCGGATGTTGTGTATCTGTAATCGTTGCCTATTTGGAAATGTAACTGAAACAATATGTAGTTACGATTGATTATTCTGTTGACTAAACGGTAAACCACGCTGTAACTAGTTAACTGTAATAGGAAGGAGCTTGACAGTTACCCCGGGTTACGAAGGCCCATAGCGCTCAGGGTTCAAGCCCCCTTATTTTAGAGCGGCAGAAAATCTCAATACCTGAATTACCATTACATGTGTCTTACTAATTAACGCACGGGATTTGGATGTCAAGCCCAAAGGCTTCATATTTTTGAACTTGTAATTAATAAATTTACAATACACTGTATAGAGCGGTGTGGAGAGCGGTGCCAAGGGTTTTGAAGCTGTACCGGGTAGATTGCCGTCGGCGAAGTCAAGGGAATACGGAGTAGATAAGCATGCATGATCGATGCATTAGTTATCCATCCACTACTCATGCATTGACATATGCGGGGAAAATGTGGCTACATGATTCGCTTAAAGAGAACAATCAAGCTGTAAGTCCGAGACAGGACAGGGCAATATGTAAATACGGGGTTTGTCCACAATGGAGAGGAGAGCGTTATCGGTGGCCGACGGCCGTTGAACCCCCAATATCGAAGGTAGGACGGCCGACGGCGATGGATTCCCCCAACGGGAACCGTTTATATACTCTTGGTTAGCATGACCCTGTGAACAATTTTAATAGACTCTCGTCTGACCAATTCAACTACTCTAACCGCATTCCTCATTCCTCAACACCTGCTCCGTGTTGTTACACACTTTGATATTTATACACGGGAATATGGCATCTTCACAACTTCCTCCTTTCAAGGTCAACCAGACACGACTGCTTGAGTCGCTACACACAAGCTGTCAACATGGCTCTGCGCATCCGTATGGAAAGTAAGGTACTCACTCTCCGGCTTTCGACCTATGCTGATTGTGTTGTTATCAGTGACTCCACGGAAACTGGAATGGCTAGGCTTAGTCTAACGGACTCGGATAAAGACGTGAGGGAATGGTTTATTGAGTCTGCAAAAGCCATTGGGTGTCATACCTACGTCGACCAAATGGGCAATCTCTTTGCGATCCGTCCCGGAAAGAATAAAGATGCCCCTCCCATCATGATGGGTTCCCATCTAGACACGCAGCCCACTGGAGGACGATACGATGGTATCCTCGGTGTTGTCGCTGGCTTAGAAGTACTGAAAGTACTAGAAGAGAACTCGTTTGAGACAGAAGGAAGCATTGGAGTTGTTGACTGGACCAAGTATGTTTCTTCCACTAACAGACCGAATAATTGGCTAATACCGTACCTAACAGTGAAGAAGGAGCACGATTCCCGGTGATGGCTATCTCAGCTGCCGTCTGGGCTGAGGCAATTCCTCTCACTACGGCTTGGAATCTGAAGGAAATTTCTGCTGGTGATAACACAGCTCGCAAGACCATGAAAGAAGAACTCGATAGGATAGGTTATGTGGGAGAAATGCCAGCTTCTTTCAAGGCCAATCCTTTTGCTGCCCACTTCGAGCTCCACATTGAGCAAGGGCCAATATTGGAAGACGAAGGCCGAAAGATCGGTGTTGTGCAAGGTCAGAAGCTCTCGACTGATTGGCGATTAAAACTGACCATTTCAAGGTGTTCAAGCATTTAAATGGTTCGATATCACTGTCAGTGGCAGGGATAGCCACGCAGGCACAACCCCTCTGTATGCGCGTAAAGATGCCATGCTATGCGCCGCCAAAATGATCACCACAGCGAACTCGATCGCAAAGAAGGCCAACGGTCTCGCTACGACGGGCATCATACACTCTGAGCCAGGAACGGTCAACACTGTAGCTCAAACAATCAACTTCAGTCTGGACCTCCGCCATACCTTTGACGAAGATCTCGAAAAGATGATTGCAGACTGCGTGGCCGAATTCCAGAGAATTGCGACCGATGATAGCGAGCGAGGCTGCACCGTCGAATGGAAGGAACTGGTCGATAGTCCCGCTGTTCATTTTGACAAGGATTGCATCTCCATGGTCGAAGAAAGCGCCAAAGCTGTTCTTTCAGATGTCCCTGATCCAGCTTCAGGGGGAAAGCAGTGGCGGGATATGATCAGTGGTGCCGGTCACGATAGCTGTTACACAAATCGGCGGTGCCCAACGAGCATGATCTTCACACCGACTCGAAATGGGATTAGCCACAACCCCGTGGAGTATTGTTCTCCTGAAGACTGGTAAGTTATAGCTTTGGAAACGATCTGCTTGTGATCATGACTGACTAGTCCAGTGCTCTTGGTGCCGACGTCTTGTTAGGCGCTGTTTTAGGATATGACAAGCTCCGCGCGAAACGAGGTGACTTTGCGTAAGGCAAGAAAGAGAACAAATGTCGCAAATATTTATCAAGAATCAAGCACATGATGAACGAGACAGAAGCTATATAAATAATCAAAGACCTTGTGAAAAGAAGTAAAGCAAGGTTGATATGTAGCAGCATGATGCTTGACCAGGCACGAACTTTTGAATAATGTTTGCAGCTCGAGTTAAAGGGAAAATGTAGCGAATTCATTGGCAAGAGAGCTAACACTTATTCAAGTATTCAAATAGTCTAATTCCTTCGAGTTTGAGGGCGAAGTAAGACGAGGATGTGAAACCTGGCTTAAGACTTTTCCGCCCCCGGTTGTCCACCAATCGGCTTCTTCTTATCAATCCCCTCTCTCACGGTCAATTCTCGAACTCACGATACTATCGAGGTAAAATGAGCAAAGATAGGAGTGAAACCGCTTTCAATCTCGATAATAGTACTCCAACAACTGACCGTGTTACGAACGCGCGAAAGTATCGCTCCAAAGTACAGAGGCCATGCGATTTGTGTCGGTCTCGCAAAGTTCATTGCAATATCCCCTATCCATCTCAGCCATGTACACTCTGCGAGCGTACCAGGCGATCTTGCACATTTGTGGAAAAGACCAACCGTAAACCCAGCAAGAAAAAAACCAAGGATTTCGGCTTATCACAATCCCCTCGATCTGACGGTCTCTTGGGATCTATTGCAGGTGACCTAGTGCCATGTACGACTATTGCTGGTGCAGAGACAACGTCTTTCGTTATTTCACCATCTCAGAGTGATGAAAGTCAATCTCAACGACCTCTAGGCACAGGTAGTGAACTAAGCTCCGCAGAAAGGCCTTGCTAATAGCTCAGTGCAGATGATCATTTTTTATCCGACATCCCTGGTATACCTAACGAATCACTCATAGAGAATCCTCTGATCGGAAATGGCTGGCCTCGCGATGATGGTGTTGACTGGCCCACGTTCAACAATGATGATTTCCAGGGCATGCTTGACACCTTGGGACGAGAAACCATTTCGGAACTACTGCCTATTGATGGTTTCAATACTGCGGATAACAGTCCATCAAGGTCACATTCTAGCCAGCCTGGAGGCTTGGAAGAGTTGACCATCGATCAGAAACCCGACTTCTCGTCTCAAATTTTTGGATTTTCGGGCGAGTCTGACCCATTCCTCCTGCGAAATTACCCGTACGACGATTCAGGCGAAGTGAAGTTCTTCAGGCTTATTTATAGAATGGCATCAAATACAGCCGCTGGTCCCGAGTCCGACCATACGGTTCTTCCTGATGGCCACCAGGGGACAAGCTCGGCTGGAGACGTGCCTGTTTATTTTCTGCAGAACAATAGCCAAACCGTATCTCAGTCCTTGCAGGCGGTCGAAAAGTGCATGTTCGAACAAGGCAAGCACGCACCAAGAATCCAACTCGACAGTCTCGTGAGTCCAGAGATGGGAGTGGGACTAGTGAAGCTGTATCTACCATGTGCCCTCAATACCGGATTCCCCTGCTAATGTTCAAAGGTATTTTCGGTACATCTTTCATGCCCTCCCGGTTCTTTCTCGATCCTTCGTCTTTCGAGACATCAAATCCTTCGTGACAAACGCCTCGGTCGGGCTTCTTGCCGCCATATACGCGCTTTCACTACAATTTACTGCATGGGACGACATTCTTTGCGTTGACAACGGATATACCAAACCGTCTTCAGAAGACTTATGGCGCATCTCGTATGCCTGTGTGCAGAAGGAGATGCACTTCCCACGGCTATCAACAATCCAGACTTCTCTTTTACTCCTCAACTTCGAGCCTTTCGATCCAGCTTCCGCAGAGAGTCCTTCGGCGTGGGCTTTGGCTAGCTCAACGCTAGCTATTGCTCAGTCCTTGGGATTGAATATAGACCCTATAGGCTGGGATCTACCAATCTGGGAGATTCGTCTTCGGCGACGCCTGTGGTGGTGTGTTCTTGTTGAACACAGTTGGCGAGCCCTCACTCATGGACGGCAGTCCATACTTTCCTACGATAGTTGGAATGTGACTCCTCTTACTTTGGCCGACTTTGAGGTCAACCTGAACCCTGAAGCTGGGCTTGGGGTGGATGATGGTTGTCCGGATTACTTTATGCATCTTAGTTCACTCACGCTTATTGCCAACGATTTGTGTCGGACCTTCTTGTGAGTTCAAACCCGTTCTGATTTTCCTTTTCTAGCTATTCTTGCCGCGTTCCATAGCCGTCTCTATCAAATACATCCCTGAGTTCGCCTATCATCACTAACCACACTACCAGCTCTCTCCGCTCTGTCTGCCAACAACGGTCTTTGGATAGCTTGATAGATCAGGCTCGAGTGTTTCGTCAACAACTACATCAGTGGATTAGCGCACTGCCAGAGTCGCTGCAGATGCCAGCACCAGCACAGACACACTCAGAAACTGAGGAAGAACCAGTCTATACCCGTGGTAGTTTGCACATCTCATACTTCACAGTTCAAATCCTGCTTTTCCGCGCCCTTTTACGGCCCATACTCGACGACAAAATAGGGCTGGATCACCTTCAGCCCTCCGTTTCAGCCATCCTAGACGCGTCGCGTGGCTTGATTCGCGCTGTGACTCGTTTTGTTTACAGCCTCGATGCGCGGCATCAATCAGCCTTCTGGCCGACTTATACGAGATCATGCTTTTCTTATCCGGGGCAATTCAGTTTCATGCTGTGTTTTCAACACAGAGAGCCGCATATGATGCTTAATGACCAAAAGCTCTTGGGTATTTGGAGACAAACATTGCGTACCCGCGCTCCGTCTTGGCCGCTTCTTCGCTTTGCGGCTATTCGAGTTGATGGCATCTTTTGGAAAAACTTGGTCAATGTCGCGGCAGCTTCCCACACCGTTGATACCTCAACATGAGCCCTTTTTAGATGAGGGTCGCTAGTAAAAACCACCGATCTTTCAAAATCTTCACCAAAGGCTCTTTCAGAATACCATGATATGATTGTATTTTACTCCTGAAATCGGCACAATGACTGTCCATGGCTTGATTGGTGCCTCGCCTCGGATATTCACCGACAGTCCAATCACATCATCAAGCCAAGAAAAAGAACGGTCTTTGAACCTCAGGCTTGGCGTTTTACCTTCAGTCTGGATGCAAGAGAAATTGTACTGTCCAAATGTGTCTGGATTCAAGTGGCCCAATAAGATGGGGGATCCTTTCCTTGGGCCGTCAAAATATGTTCATGTCTATCTACTAAACCCAAGCGGTCTCAACGTCCCAAGACCCCTCACTCCTACTGCCCGCCATCATGCTCTCTGTGCGATGCAAAAACTGACCAAAGCCTCGAGAACCTACAACCCCTCCATCTTCCCGGTCCCAGACTATTTGGCCACGAAGCACAGTGTAGCGCGGCCACTGCTTTACCCTGTGCCCCTCGAATGGAGTGTAGTCGACGTTATGATGAAGGATGTCGTTGGTGACAGTCATCTCAAGACTCCCCTCGGGGTACCAGATCACAAAGTCGGCATCACTAACCTCCGGGATAAGTGCACCTTTTCTTGGGTACATGCCATACAATTTAGCTGGGTTGGTTGATGTCAGCTCCACGTATTTTTGTATATTGAGTCGATCGGCCGAAAGAACCAATGGCATTCGGGTCTCGACACCAGAGAATCCGTTCGGAATCAGGTGAAACTGTCCATCGGGACGTTCCGCAGTCACGCTCGATCCTTTGCCAGACGTCGAGTCATTGAAGTTAAACGGGCTGTGGTCGGACGAGAGAATGGTAAATGTTCCGTCCTCGAGACCGGCCCAAATAGCCTCATGGTCGGATTTGTTTCGCAGCGGCGGACTGCAAACACATTTTGCACCCTCGAGCCCAGGCCGATCCAGGTTCTCGCTGCTGAGGAACAGATATTGAGGACAAGTCTCAGCATAAATTGGAAGACCCTTTGCCTGAGCTTGTCGAATGTTATCGACGGCTCGAGGATTAGATACATGTACGATTAAGATCGGAGTATCAATAAATTCAGAGAGACAGATTGCACGGTAGCTTGCCTCGATCTCGGCGACGGCAGGGTGAGAAGCCGTATGGTACTTTGGTGCGTATAGTTGGCGCTCGTGCAATTTCTTGGTCATCCACGCAATCACAGAGTCGTTCTCGGCATGCACCAGAGTCGTGACCTTGTGTAGACGGGATTGAAACAAGACATCCAAGAACTGCTCGTCGTTGAGGCGCAAAGCTTCGTACGTCATGTATATCTTGACGGACGAGATGCCCAACTCTCGGAAGGCTGGAAATTCCGCAAGCGTCTTTGCGCATGGGTTGGAGATGATGAGATGGAACGAGTAATCGCTGTAGCATTGGTCCTGGGCGCGTTCGTGAGCGCAAGCTAGAGTTGCGAGAACACTGTCTTCATGCTTCCGTTGAGGTGCGAAGGCTACGATGGTTGTTGTACCTCCCGCGATCGCGGCGCGAGTGCCTAGGAAATTCAGTCAATTCAATGCAACACGTCAGTCTCCAGCTCTGGATACTGAGGGACTCACCGGACTCGAAGTTGTCTGCAGTGGAACCGAGTCCAAATAGAGGCGGCTCCTGAAGATGAACATGGGCATCAATCCCTCCTGGCTTGAAAGAAGGTCAGCACATGGCTATGAGTTATAGAGGGGAAAACCAACCGTGACCAGAGCTCCCTTGGCGTCAATGATCTTTTTGGCCTTTGAGCCAGTCAATGATCCTTGGGGGACAATTGAGTGAATCTTCTCGTCTTTGACGCCAATGTCACATTGCACGACGTCTTCAACCGTTGCCAAAGTACAGTTCAGCACAATGAGGTCCAGATCAGGATTCAATTGTTCGGACATATTGGAAGATAAATAAATAAAGAATCTGTCTCAAATGAAACTTACATTTCGGAATATCAAGCTGTTAAGAGGGGTTCCACTCCAGAACCGCCGTCGGCGTCGTTATCTAAAAGGCGGGGCATCCAGGTCTGCCCGTCGGCGAACAAGGCATTTCAGATTCGGCTCGCATCCATGCATGGAAATGTTAGAGATCTCTATAATGTCGTTGAGCTGATTGGAATACCTTTGTCATTCGCATATTGGCTGTTTATTGGGCTAATCCTTCAGAACCTCCGCATGCAGGTTTATCTTTGTTTTTCTCTGACCTATTCGCTCAGCCATGTATATTAGAAGCTTCTACTACTGAGTTGTGATAATAGTCCTCGGGACCTTAGGAGCATTGCATGATTATATGGAAGGGCAGTTTCATATACCTAGTTAATAATACACATGAACGAGACTCGACAGACGTTCAAAGATCATTCAAAACTGGCCTCCAACGGTATGCATTGAAAAGTCGGCCGCCAAGTGCTACTTTCGTTGTCATATTGATTCCTTGAAAATCCCAGATATAGTTGATTCGAACAGTGTGGAAATGGTGCAAGATCTTCCTCGGTGATCCACGGAGGTTGACACTCATTCCGCCTGAAGATGCCATAGTCATGTATACGAGCCTCTTCGGGGATGAGTGCTGCTTGCGACCTAGTTGCCTCGACTTTGTGAGGAAGTGCCACTGTGTTCACTTGCCTCAGGGCAGGGTTATAGCCCTCTTCCAGTTTCATCAATGTTTCCGACAAAACAGCCACGGGAGCGCATTTGAAAAATCCTTGTATCGGAGGCGCTTGTCGCAATAGATCCAAAGCCCTTCGCCGCAGGCTTGGGTCACGACATCTCAACACAGTCATGGCGAGAGGGACACCTACACTCAGCTCAAAGGTAAAGGGTGGTTGGGCACCATTTGGCCCTACTAAGGCATCGAGAATCAACCTAGACTGCTCGACGATAGTAACGAAGTCTTCAAAGTGGATATCGAAAACAGTTTCCTGTTGCCTTAAGCATCCTGTCACACAAATCAAAGTAGCAGCATGATGCGTGAGCAGGATAGGCTCTGGGTATATAGAAACATTGGATACTGAGTTTTCTCTCTCGCAAGTATTGGTGTATGCCCGATGCCATTGATCGAGACGGGCTCGAAGCGCTTCTTTTTTTGCGACCATTTCTGGACTAACAGCGGAATCCGCACCGACTGCTCTGAGGTGTAATTTCGCCTCGCGCTCAAAAAGAGCAACTTCCGCAGCTATGGCGGATATAATGGTTCTTGCGGAATCGGCAGATGCGAAACCAGCGCTCAGATCTGTTTCTACGAAGGCGAGAAGTTCAGTTGGGAACTGAGTCCCTGAAATGGTAAGGGAACTTGTGCCCAGTCGTAGGAATAAGGGAGCAATGCTGCGTTCCAACAGAACAGCCTTACTGGTAGGTATTCCTCCATGGCCGATTTGGGCACGGAGGTCAAGTATCAAAATGATGCCTTGTCGGTAGAGCTCCAAGGCCTGCTCCATATGTCCTTGGATTGTCTCCACACAGATGAACAGTGCGCAGCTGATGACTGCAATGTACGGATCTGCGCTGCCTCGCTGGATCTGTGAAGAAACACCCGAGATTGATCGCGTGTACCATGTCAATGCTTCCTGCTGAGCATGATCAAGCAAATGTGCCTTATTTCGGGGATCTCTCAAAAAATGAAAATCCATGCACTGCTTTGGATTTTCGTACAATGCGCTAATTGCAATCATTGCATCCCACACTGCGGGCTCACTGCGGCAGATCTGCGGAACAACCCCCGTCCAGAAATCAATATTCATTCCACCTGCGAGATGTTGGGACACATGTTGGAAGTAATATTCAAATGCGCGACGTTCTCGTCGCCCTGGATTTGGAGACGACAGTTCGAGACCGGGTGTGGAGGGAGCCCAGGGAGATACCCCTCTGCTCTCATATTCACACTTCCGTCCTGTGCTAGAGCAGCGAAGGCAATTGGGCTTCTCCTCGCCACATTTGACTCTTCGGATTCTGGTCGGCGGTCAGAGCTTAACTCCGAAAATGGTGGCGGAAACTCTTACTTGCAAGTTTTGCATCCAGATCGAGATTTCACAGCCCCTATACGGTGGCTCATATCTGAATCAGGTGGGCGAAGGCATAGAAGTTCGGGATCCCACCTACACGTAGGTATGGCTGGATGTGGTTATTAGTCCACACTGTGGAATACTGGACAGGACTACGGGCAGGACGTTGACCGCTCT